CGTGCGACCGAGGGTCCCCTCCGCCCATACCGAAACCACCCCCTTCCACAGCAAGTACCTGAGCGGTTTGACGGATTGCACCCAACCTTTGCCAGCGCGTGTGGGGCCCCACCCAGGCATCCCATGGCCAAAATGAATGAAATCCGACAACGAACGCACGTTGCGTCACGTCCGGGCAGTATTTTCTGGGTTTTCGGCCCGGAAAATCGTAGAAAATCCATACCGACTTGAAACGGGACAAAATGTTTCGTGCGTGCCCTGCTAGGGCACTGTAGCACGTGAAAAAAAATTGGGCACATTTGGCTAAGTTAAAAAAAGAGCCTATTTGATTAAGTTAAAAAAATGGGCACGTTTGGCTAAGTTAAAAAAAAGTGGTTAAGGTAAAAAAATTGATACAGTTAAAAAAATGTGCCTATTTTATTTAGTTAAAAAAATGAGGCCCTATAAAAAAACACCGGCCGTCTCGCTAACCGATGCGCATGCATGCATGGGGTCGTCCCACTAACAATGATGCCGCAATCAGCGCTTGGGCGACGTCGTTAGCCGACCCGCATGCAAATTTTCCTTCTACATCCAGCCCGTCTCGCCGCCGCCGCGATCTGCACGTGCTGCCAACGTACGCCACCCGTCGCCCCACACTCCAAAACGGTGCCGGTGCGGCCGCGCCGGCCTGCCCTGACCTGACCCGTCACCCTCTATACGCTGTCGGTGCCTCTCCCACCGTCGCCCCACCGTACAAACGCCGTCGGTGCGCCCGCGCCGGCTTGCGTCCCCTGACCCGTCGCCCTCTATACGCCGCCGGTGCCTCTCCCACCGTCGCCATCGTGTAAGTTTTTTTCCAGTTTTTTTATACGATGAGGCTCATAGTAGTACGATGGTATGTGACAGAAATCTATTTGATGCAGTATGAATATCAACGGTGTGATTCCATGTTCTGTTCAAAAGTGGGTTAGCGTAGTTGACAAACTGTCACCCAGTCAGAAATTCCGGTTTTATGAAACGGATATGCAGGGCATGTTTAGAATACCATCGATAAAGATGCGTGATTTTTTGCTTCACATTTTACTCCAAGGTTACAATCCGAGTAGCAAAAATTTCATGGTTGAAGAGAGTTCTGGAAGTACTGTTGGAAGTAAAGGTCATATTTCACTAAGGCCTGATGATGTGTACTCCATATTTGGTTGGAAAAACAATGGAGTGGATGTTTTTGGGTTTCTTAGTACTGAAGGAGAAAAAGCAACCTCAAAAATACCAGTTAGTTTTGTTAGCAAGAAAAATGGTAAGATCATGATTGATGATCTCATAGAAAAGATTGTGAAGAATAACAGCACTGATGATGACTTTATTCGGATGACATTTCTAGTTCTCTTAGGAACTATAATTGCACCAGTGTCTCATGAATACGTTTCGTAAAAATACTATGCCTTAGTGCAAAATATTAAGTTGGTAAGGAAGTTCAACTGGAATGCATTCACTTCACGATTCTGTTTGTCGGAGATTGGTAAGCTTCTGCAGGACGGCCATGTTAGGTAGTGGCCCCAGGGGAACCTCGCCCTTTTACAACTACGTTGTATTTATTAATTTCAACACTTTTGTTATAAACTGTCATGGAAGAACATGTAATTTAATTAGTTTATGTGTTTTGCAGTACCTATACTGGGAGAAGGTACAACCAATCACCGGTCCAAAATATGATCCGTTGGCATTGTTGAGCCCGCTGATGAGGAACTGGACGGAAGATATGGCTGTGAGAAGAGACAAATACGACTATGAATATGGTCGTGGTGTTGGGATGGTAATCCTAGTAATCATGTTTTTTTACATTTATGAAATAAAGTGAAGTGTGCATATGGTTTGTATGTATAATTCTCTTGTTGCATTTGTAGATCGATGACAACATTACAGAGGAGTATAGGCTAAAAAAATTGCAGAAGAAGAAGCTCAAAAAACCAAGAAAGCTAGTAGCAAAAAATCTAACGTTACTGGAACGAGGAAAGAGGGCAGTACCTCGGAGGCCTCGAGCCAGAAGCCTACTATGGACCGGATTTTGAGTGAGATGAATGAGCTTCAGAAGGAAATGCTTCGTTTGCCAGAGTTATGCGCACAAGTAACACTTGAGCACGTCACTTTAATGTCCATCACTGAATTGAAGAACTAAGATGAAATGTTTTCTTGCAGAGGATGATTGAGAAAAAGAACAAAACCGGCGTCTTCTACAAACCCAGTAACCTGGAAGATGACAAAGAGAATCTGTACGGAGGCATTAATGAGTCTTCAAACGATGGTGGATGTCCGAAAAAAGAGTTTGTATATCAAAAAGATGATTCAGACCGGTTCCGCACACCTTTCAAAATGAATTTGCAAAAGGATGATGATGGCGTTGATGTAACTTCTCGTGGAAACACACCTTTTTACTGCACACCTGAATACTGGGATAGTTTCAAGGGTGATATGGATGATCCTATCCAAGTACCAGAAGTATCAGATGAAAAAGTTGCCACATCTTTAGAGACGGACGAAATCGCATCGCATGCGTCGCTTGGTTCTCAAGGAGTACAGGAGGAAGTGGAGGAGGTTACTGGCAGGCGCAAGCGCAAAGGACCACAACATGTCAAGTCTCCTTATGTGGTCCCTAAACCGAACAAGCGTGCAATACATTCTGCGAAAGGAAGTAAGTTTTTTGTGTTTCTAATTGTTCTTGCGTAATAATTATTTATATATTTGCGTTTATAATTATTTGAGTTGTGCGTTACAGAATTGTTCCAAAATGGTGGTGTTAACAAATCTAGTGATGAGTATGATGTGGTGAAAGCGTCCATCAAGTACGTGCGCGCGCATGAGCATTCATAAAAACATGTCAAAACAGAAATTTTCAATGATGGCATGGAAGAAGGTCTCACTGTGCGGAGAGCTTGTCAGATTATTAACCATGAGTGGCTAAGTGGCGACGTAAGTTAATTTCATATATTGTTTTACAATTGATTCGAAAATACCATTGTTAAATCTGACACATTATTTATAGGTAATTAATGCATACTCATCATATTTGGTCGA